CCCCCTACAACAGTTAAAATAAAAAATACTGCTCTACTAAATGTTGATGAGGATGTGAAGCAACTGGAAGCTTCATACACTGCTGATAAAGTTAAACATACTTATACCTTATAACCAGTAATTCCACTCCTAGCTAAGAAAAATGAAAGCATATGTTAATAAAATGCCTTTTAAATAATGCTTATGGCAGTCTTATTCATAATAAGTAAAAGCTGCAAACAACCTAAATGTCTATTCAACAGGAGCACTGATAAGCAAATTGTGGTGTATTTATACAATGAAATACTACTATATAGTAGGCTGTTCTTACATTGCTACGAAGAAATACCTGAGGCTGGGTAATTTACAAAGAAAAAAAGTTTAATTGGCTCATGGTTCTACAGGCTGTACAAGCATTGCACCAACATCTGCTGGGCTTCTGTGTGGGCTTCAAGAAACATAATTATGGCTTATAAGAAGGTTAAGGGGAGCACCCACATCACATGATGCGAGCAGGAAAAAGAGTTGGGACTGGAGAGGTGCAACACACTTTTAACAACAGCTCTTACATGAATTCAGACCAAGAACTCACTTTTCACCAAGGGGATGGTGCTAAACCATTTACGAGGGATATGTCCCCATGATCCAGCATTTCCACACCAGGCCTCACCCCCAACACTGGGGATTACATTTCAACAAGAGATTTGGAGAGGACAAAGATGCAAATACTATCAACTACTCAGCCAAAAAAAACCCAACCAAACAAAAACAAACAAACAAACCCCTACAACATGGATAAATCTCTCTCTCTCTGTCTCTCTCTCTCTCTCTCTCTCTCTCTCTCTATATATATATATATATATATATATGAATAAAAAGAGACGGACAAAAAGGAATAAATATTGTGTGATTCCATTTATATGAACACAAAGAAGAGGCAACATTAACCTCTAGTCATAGAATTAGAAAGTAGTGGTCTCTGTGTGTGTGGGCTAGGGGAGGAGGGAGAGGCATGAGGGTAGTTTTGGTGAACTGACAAGCTACAGATACAAATAAACATTTTGGGCTGATATAAATGTTCTAAATCTTGTTTTAGTTATTCTCATGAGCATGTATAATTATATAATTAGCAAAACTCATACTCTGGATATTTAATATGTATGTACTTTATTGAATATAAATTATATCTCAATTTAAAAGTGGCCTGTAGTCCTCAGGTATTAAGTAGTCGCTGAAGACACACCTTTGTTGGGAATGACAGGAATGAAGAATACAAAGATTGTGGGGTGATTTTGCGATTTAAGACTGTACTAGGATGCTTAAGGAAAAATGTGATAAGCTCAGAGGCCCAGAGAGAATCTATGATTACTTTAAAACTTTATTACTTGCTGGGATGATACATCCAAATCAATATTAATTCTGTGAAGACCTAAATTACAAGGTAAGTTGAATAAACAGACTCATCAGGTCTCTTATGTGAGAAATTAAGGCATTGATTGGGAAGGAGTTGAATCTTTAGAGTTGTGATAGAGAGGCTGGGTGGATTCGGATAGCTCTATTATCTTAATACACAGACATTACAGAGCTTTTTGCTTTCTGAAGAACTCCTCCCTTCCTGTCTTATAGGGCTAGTCTTGTCTTCCTTGCAAATTCTGAACTTCATCAGAGGAATTTACCTTGTGAATCAATTGAGAAGAACTGATTGTTCTCAAAACTCAACTGTTATCACTTCTTTACATCTCTAGACCACATCACCTAGTAGAAATACAATGTGAGCCACATATGTAATTTAAAATCTTCTACTATCTACTTTTAAAATAGAAAAGAAATAGTTGTGCTTAAATTTTGGTAATATATTTTATTTAACTCAATATATACAAAATATCATTTCTGGTGGCATTGTGGTATAGTGGTGAGTATAACTGCCTTCCAAAATATCATTTCAACATACTCAGTATGAAAATCAAGATATTTTATGTTCTTTTTCACAGGCAATATGTATGTATTTTGTATTTAGAACATATCTTAATTCAGAACCATCACATTTCAAACGTTTGAAATAGCCATAGGTGGCTGGTGGTCTTTGTATTCTCCATATTGGACCAGGGTTTCTTAATGTCAGCACTACTGACATTTTGTTGTGGAGGATGTCCTGTGCATTGTAGGATGTTTAACAACATCTCTAGCCTTTACTCACTAGATGCCAGTAGGACACCTGCCCTCCCCTCTTGGTGTGGCAAAAAAAAAAAAAAAATGTCAAGAACCACTGATCTAGATCAAAAGTTAGATCCCAATATGTTCCAGAGAAAAATAAAAGATCTGACCTGGGAGAAGACTTTCGTACCAAAAAATGTGCAAGATTTTGCTTATTTATATTGTCAGAAACCTATAGAAAATGATAATGAATTCCAAGTTTGGCAGACCAGGGATGAAGGAATATTTTTGATGAGACCAAATTATTAATATGAATACATTTACCAGAGACCATGATTCACTACGCTTGCTTTGAACATCTGGGAGTGGCTGTCAGTGTTTGCTCAGCTGGTTGATTGAAACTAGATAAAGTTGAGATGTTAGAAATCTCTTGATTTTACAGGATTGAATTAAAAGACTTAGGGAAGCGGGTAATGAAGAGAGGCTGATTAATGGGTGCAGACATACAGTTAGAAGAAATAAGACCTAGTGTTTGACAGATAAGTACGGTGACTATAGTTAACAATAATTTATTGTACATTGCAAAATAACTAGAAGAGAATAATTTGAATGTTCATAGCATAATAAAAATATTTAAGGTGATGGATATCCTAATTATCCTGATTTGATTTTTACACACTACACCACTACACATTCATATAAGTGTATCCAATTATCCCATGTACCCTGAAAATATGTACATCTAGTATGTATTGATTTTTTAAAAAGACTTAGGGAATAGTACTTTAGGAATGGATTTATCACGTGTGACCCCGTCATCACCTTTCAAAGGTGTTCTGAGAGGGTCAAAGGACCTTCTTTTTACTAAAGCATTGAGAAAATATAGGGAATGCCAGAATCCTTTAAAAGCTCTGTAGCTGCTATTCTATAAGCCCAGGGATGAAGATGCTGCCATTGCATGAAACTCCTAATTCCCTAATAGAAATATAAGATCCTAAAGTGACAGAGGCCAAGGGATACCCCGGAGCCATAGGAGATGAGATATCTGCCGTTACTATGATATCAGCAGGACCTATCACCTATCAAGTCATTTGACTAGAAGGGATCTTTAGCAGTTGATAATTAATCAGTGTCCCTAGAAATTGAAATGGAGAGCCTACTAAGATTCTACTTAATTTGTAAAACAAAAAATTTTACCAGAACCAATGAAGAGACTTTCGTGTAATCACCTTAATGGAGATTTACAGCATCTTGACGTTGGCTTTTTGACTTATGGCTATTATAATAGGAAAACAAAGTGGAAGCCTTTGGAACTGTCCTTTTCTACAAAGATTAAACCAAAGGCAATACCATAGTCCTAGGGGAATTTCTGTGATTAGTGGCACTATTAAAGACTGCAAAGGTGTAAAGGTGGTGATTCTCACTACATTTTCATTTAATCTTGTTTGTCCTGTGCAAACAGAAGGTTATCTAAAATGTTGCTTTTTAATTTTGAAGTATTATTTGTATTCAAGTATCTTTATTCTATTTCACTGTTTGCTATTTTTACATTATAGTACCTATTTGTTGCCATGAAGGTGGAAATCACAATTTCTATCCAACACTGTAGTGTTGCATCCTACACACAAATGTACCACTAGTGAGTTCATATGTTTACGTTTATGTATCATCTGTGGCTTTTCTTGGTACAACAAAAGCAGAGTTAAATAGTATCACAGAGACCATATGACCTGCAAATCTATTAATAAAATATTTACTGTCTGGCTGTATTAGTCCATTTTCATACTGCTATAAAGAATTGCTGGAGACTGAGTAATTTATAAAGGAAAGGGGTTTAATTGACTCACAGTTCAGCATGGCTGGGGAAGCCTCAGGAAACTTAGAATCATAGCAGAAGGTGATGGGGAAGCCAGGCGCCTTCTTCATAAGGTCACAGAAATGAAAAGTGCCCAGTGGAGGGGGAAGAGCCCCTAACAAAGCCATCAGATCGCTTGAGAACTCACTATCATGAGAGCAGCATGACTACCGCCATGATTCAATTACCTCCACCTGGTCTCTCTCTTGACACGTGGGCATTAAGGGGATTACAATTCAAGATGACATGTGGGTGGGGACTCTAAGCCTAACCATATCACTGGCCCTTTACTGAAAATGTATTCATTCTGTCTCCTGCTTTAAATTATGAAAGGGAGAATTACAGTACTGGGAGAAAAGCATTGCTGGAGTGCTTCAGTAAAACCAATTACTAGGCAACAGCGTGACATGGTTACTGCTCCAGTTGACAGTTGCTCTGCTTGTGACTTTAAATGTTGGTGTACAATTCTTAACATGAACATTAAGTAGAGGCGTTGAATAAAGTTTATTTTTCCAAATAAAATCTTGTTTGCTTGTTCAGGACTTTATAAACCAGACCAGCTCTCTGTAGCCGCAGATACGAAAGAATCTGAGACCTTGAAAGCACCCTGGAGAACTCAGCCTCCCTCATTTAACAGGAAAAAGCCTGAGACCCAGGAAGGTATCTCAGCTAAAAATACTACTATATATTTGAAAAGAGGTTTCTTCCGGTCTCAGTTGCCTTCAGTTTTTCTAATCTCCCCCTTAAAAAGCAAAAGCAGGGCACATCCAGGCCAAGCGCCAGAAAACTCGGAATTGGTTTTATTTCCTTTTCTAGTTGGGCTCAGTTATGATTTTCGGTAATGTACACAAGTGCTGTCCTTTTCTAGAAACAAACGCTTTAAAAAAAAGGTTTACCCGAGAATCAGACAGACACAAGGCTGCCCTCCTTGCCCCGCCCCTCACACTCGCCAATAGCTACAGGCACTGCGCCCGGTCCCTAACCCCGGCCAATCAGCAGCCGGCTGCGGGCCTGACGGGAGGGGGCGGGCCGCCGTTGCCAGAGAAGCCGCTAGCCGGTTACTAGCTGCGCTTTTGTTCCACTTGCAGGGACTCTTCCGCGGCAAGCCTGTCTAGGAATTCGCCTGCTTCTCACCTCGCGTCCCTTGCCTGCCTTCCTAGTGTACCCACTGTAGTGCCCCTTGCGTCTCGCTCCCTCCTAGCCGACCCAGAGCACAGGTAGGATTGCCAGGGTTTCCACTTCAGCAGCTGTGGCGCCTCTAATCGTTTCTATAGCGCGGCGACGACGGGCTGACGTCAAGGCGACGTGCTGACGCAGTGGCAGGGCCTTTGGGTTGGGGATGACTCGGTGGAGAGCTTAGCTACGCCTGGGCGTCTACCTCGGGCATCCCTGGGAGGTCTGGAGGTGAGGGCAGTGGTGGGTACCGGAAGTAAAGGGCTCTCGCGCCCACCCAGCCTTTTCCGCGCAAACCCTCCACCTCCTCAGGCTGACTACGCCGCCTGGGAAAAGGGCGTGGAGACACACTCCTAGGAAGGGTGTGGTCCTTGGGACATCAGGGCAGATGTTAACGTGAGGTGGACTTGTCCAGAACGAAGTCCTGACCGGGCCGTTCCTGGATATGGTTGTGTTTCTTTCAGAAATAGTGCTCTCTTAATCATTGGGTTGGCTTTTAAGCGTCCATCATGTTATATATCAGATTGTGGGAAGCCCTTGGGGCCTCCTAAGTGAGGCATATTCCAAGAATCCTCAGTAAATAATTCCTTCCCAGGAGTCCTCTAGGTTCCAGACCGTATAGGCGACCCCTGTAGTGCGGGATTGGCCTAGGTTTGTGGAGAGTGCTAAAGGCCGACTTGCGTTCAGTCCCGGCTCTGCCACTGAGCCAGCTGTGTGGCCTTGTCTAGGTCATTTAACCTTCCTGGCTTCCTTACTGATAACTGTAAAATGGAAACAATAATCATCACTTTGGGGGTAGTTGTAACAGGAGATTAAGTAAACGCAGGGCCATTAAGGTGGCACGGAAGATAGGTGGTTAGTGAGTGGTGGTGCTTGTTTACTGAGAATAACCATACTGGGGCTGCTGTTGGGGATAAAGCCTATTTCGAAGAGAGTTTCTTCATTACCCAATGCGTAGAACGATTTCAAGTGTTTTTGAACGAATTGTTCTTGGAGTTTTAAGTGCAACTTAGTTATGGTTAAAGGAACAAACCGCAGAAAATCTGTCTGCTTTTGAAATTGTTTGATATTCTTCAGCTTATAGTAAGAATGTCATCATGTTTATGATCTGTTTTTTGCTTCTCATTTTTATCTGCTAACTTCACAATGGATGTATATTTATAGTATAGTTTTTCTGTCCTAAAAGTTCCCTGTGACAGATTTTAAGACAATGGATTTTAGTGATCTGGTCGCGGTCTGCTCTCTTTAGAGTTGTAGTCTGTGCTTAATTTAGGTAGCTTAATCTTATTCATTACTCATTTTCTTGTCCAGAACAGTTTTCATCTCTTGAATCTAAATTGAATTTATGAGTGTTAAAATCTGACTGAATTAAGGCAAGTTTGTGTGTTTTTGCTTTGTAGATCTTTTAATTAAAAACTGAGTTCCACCAATTCCTTACTTGTAATCTTGGGCAGGCTATTTAACCCCTCTGAGATTTAATTTCCTTATTTGTAGCTTTTTAATAGCAACCTTTTTTGTGAGATGTTGTTTATAAGGTCAGTCAATGCTCTGCTCAGTAAATGGCAACAGTTATCATGTTGAAGGAAAGGGATGAATATCCTTTATAAACATCTGGTAAAGGATGCTGACTTTATTTGGGATTAGACAATATTCTGAACATTTTTGTCACAGTGTTTTTCTGGGTAATTAGGCTCTATCTGGGGCCCCTACATCTCAAAAGTGTCCA